CTAAGTTCAGTCATAATATCGCTACTGAACACATTCAACCAACATTCCGAATACTGCTGCTCAAATCTGATTTATTGAAAGTAATAACATGATAACAATTATAAGCAATGATATATAATGTATATATACTCTCGGTAAGACTCGTCGAATTTTTTTACTGAAGAATGCCAAATCGAATTTCTTGGATTGAATTTCGAGTTGCAGAGAGAAATGCTTTTGAAGAAGGTAGCATAAATCATTATATTCCATGAAGATTTCTTCGGCGGTTTGTTACTCCAGAAAAAGCACAACAGTTGACTGAAAAATGAAAGTATTAAGCACAAATACGTAGCAGAACCCATCGAAATGCAAGAATAAAAGAATTCATCCAAAACAGGCCTTAATTAAAGTTAAAAATCGAAATTTTTAAAGAAATAAAAATGGAAGGAAGAGGAAACCAAAATAAATGCCTTTAGAACATCAGAAATCCGGGAGGATTTTCATAGATAAGCAAGCCGTCGTAATTTTTCTGAGAATAATAGCAAATTACAAGTGAACAAATTCTGCCAATTGCAATCATAAATTCATAAATCTTCAAATGAATTCCGATCAATCCCTTCGTGGAAAATTCTTAGGAAAACTAGATACCATATCATTTAGCGAAAAGCAATAAACAAGCAGTTATTTCAGACGAAAACTCATCTGAATTTTGTCTTATCATCATCGATCTACTACATACTTTTGGGATTCTAGTAAAGGTTTTAAATTCTCATTCAGAACTCTAAAATGCTCAGAAAATTCCACTTGGATGCAGTGAATTTGCATTTAATACTTCCCAAACTATACCGGATGAAACTTCACTCTTTCAGTTTACGGTCACTCATATATTGATTACTTTATCCGCTACATTTTTCTCCTGGTAATTCGAACTTTTTCCGGACAGCGCAGGAAAAAATAATTCGCAGGTGGAGCAACTAAATGAAAATGTGCAGAGTGGAAGCCAAGGCTGAATTGTCATTTCATATGCTACTTCTCATTTATGGCTACAAACTGATTTCCCTCTTTCCTCCAAAAGAAGCATTTTTTGGACAAGTTGGTTAGAGATTGATAAGTTTTCGTATATATGCTAAGAATAGAATGGAGTCGTTGCGTTCAAGAAAAATGATATTTACTGATTTTACTGTACCCTACTTCGGTACTACTGTCAGAAACTACTGCAGATATTATTATCAGGTGCTTCATCATTCATTCTTATCAGTGACATCAGCACAGTAATATTCCCAAAACGGTGCAGTAAAACTCTCCGTATGATTATACCACTGGTCTTCAGCCATGGAAACTAGCAATCTTGGAAGGGATGAGGGCTCTCACTTGATCCATTCCATAAATACTCGCTGTCGAAGCAATAATGTCTCAGAAACTAGTCTAAGAAGATTCCGCAGTGAAGAGGATAGAAAACAACAAGAAGGGTTACTTACTTTCTACTCAATCCTTCACCCGAGATATCACTAATTCGATTATTTACTTATGTACTCTCTACGTGTATGTGTATGTGCGTGTTTGAGAGATTTTCCGAAGAAAACAGATATGGTGTGACAGCATGGAAAGGGAAATGAATGGATGCGAAGATTGTCAAGTTGGAGTTATTGGCGGAAAGGATTCTCCGCAAGTAGTCATCGGGCAGATCTTCTCTAAAGAGATCCAATAATCGAGTCTATGGAGATATGTCCCGAGAAAAAAGAAATGAGGTTTTGTGTAAACTCGTTCAGATTTCTCTTTCGAAATCAATCACACAGACTTATGAATGGTTGACAGAGAAAGCTTCCGTTACGTACTTCCGTTTATACACCTCCACACGCAGAAGCAGTCTGCACACTCCACGTATGGATACGTGCAAAGAGACGTTGAGATACACATTAAAAGCTGCTTTCAAGATCAATCTGATAAGGGACCATTGCTTTGCCTAGTCAGTACTTGGCCTCAATGGATGGAGCAAGGAAGGAATAGACTAGGCAGCAGCACAACTCGTGGATTCAAGAGCCAAGGCATTCTTGCTTGATGGATAGACGGATCTATGCAAGAAAGCAAGTAGAGAAGAGAATCAGACTAAAGATTAAACGAAGTGATGGCCTAATGCATCGCGTACAAGCCTTTTTAGCCTATCTGCCATGGATTTCTCCAAGCACATTCCCTTCTCCTCCTCCTCTTCTTCCTCCTTTTCTTCCTCCTCTTTTCTCATCTTCCACTTCTTCATTATTGCATTACGTCCACCAAAGAGCACGACTTCTTGTCTCTTATACTTCACATTTCGCTCCGTTTTCCTGCTGGAAAAGTCAGAAGTTCCGACCAAATTTAAATAATAGCTAACGGATTTGTGTTCATAAGTCTGCGTGCTGTGTGCTGCGTGCTGCGTGCTGCGTGCTGCGTGCTTAAACACCATATAATCTTCTTTGTGATGTATTCGTTTCATTTACATTTTCACAACGGAATGGTTGTTGATAATATGAGAGAATGCTGGATAAATTGGTATCATTATAAGATTATAACTAACCTCCATTATAGAAAAGAAGCTTAGAAGACAACGGCTCTCAGTAAAAGCACAATGATTGATATAAAGGGTGCTACTGATAACAGTTGGATGGATTTCTGTTATCAGTCCACTTATTATGAAGTTTTAAATAGCAATAGTAGGGGTATGATTGGAAGTGGATCATGTAATTTGATTTGTTTTCTTTTACTTCTTTTCTTCCAGCTTTTTGCACTCCTTTCTCTACTGATGGCATACGCATAGCTATGATTATAGTAAAGAAAATTAATGTATTATGGTGGTGTGAAATACTGTTCAGTAATTCTAAACTATCATTATTCATCATCCGATAATGATCATTATTAATCATCAGTTGAATCAAATCTCTTAATCAGTGCTGTTACCATCATGCCGTTTACTTATAGCGTTCCCCATTTCTCGGAATACTCTGAAACTTTTTCATCATCCTGTTTCATATTCACTGCATTCAGTGTATCAGATACAATTGAATTAAAGTTTTAAAATGATTTTTCTGAATTTGTTTAATTTAAATGAGGGGCGCTACTGACAGAAACAGTAGCAGTAAATGACGGATAAGGTTGCTAGCAGATTTTATTAGGTCTTTCAGAATAATTCCTACCTGTGCTTCCCAAAATAACATTTTTTCGTCCTTCAGTTTTGTTGTATGCCCCATTAACGTCATTATATTATTATAGAAGCATGAAAGAGTTCTTCATCTGTGTTTCACATTTTTGCACGATGTGTCGAATACAACTGAACATCAAAACGTGTTTAAGTAACACATTTTATACTATTTCGTTTGTTCTTCAGATGCAACTACAATTTCTTGGTGAGGCTGAATTTGTTTCTTCCAATTTACATGAGAACCGTTACTGACAAAAATCATGAAATTATGCAGGAAGATCAGAGCACATCTGCACTGTATGGGAAACACGTGGATATTGTTATATGAAATTACTTGGTTTTTTAAAATTATTCGATTTTCGGAATTTGATGAGACTGAACTTGTTCCTTCCAATTTACATGAGGACCGTTGCTGACAAAAGTTAGTGACAAAAAAAAAAATGATCGAATGACTTCAATCTTTACTAGCAGCAGGATAGAATGGCCTATGCTTGCCAGTTTTTTCTAACTGTAGCTTTTTGTCGATTTGTGAGAATTTTCAGTTTTCCCTTCCTGGATTTCATGTCTTACCTAATCATTTTTGTTGTTTAACCAGCATTCTATCCATAACTTTTCTCCTCTTGGGAAACGGAGAAAGTAAACGCCAGTGATGACCAAAACTTGTTGCGGTATATTATGCAGAAGTAGAATTATTGCAAATATGGCTTTTTAAATTATTTTTAATATTTGATTCGCAAATATAGATTTTTTTCAAAGCGTGGCTCAACTGTCAATATTTACGTGGTAGTCAGGTCTAACTTTAGATAAACTTACGTTTTTCATTACTTGACAGGGGAGTCAGACTTTCAAGCAATCAGCTTACATTTGTTTGCGTTTCTGCAAGAAACTTCAGCAATTTGATATATATTGGTACTGGTTTTTTTTTCAGGCTAATGAATGGAAGTGTAAATGGTAGTTCGACGCAATCGAAGAAGTGGCCCAGCAGCTGGTAACAAAGTTGTTAGTTGCGTAAGTTGTGCACTGTATGCTGCGTGCAAATTTGTGAGCATTCAAAGGTAATTAGATTTCTGCTGTCCTAAATGAAAATAGATATGTGTTTTCTTATTCATATTGTGTCATGCTAATATGCAGACTGAACGGTGGAATTAAATGTGAAGTCGAAAATCATTCAGGATTCCAGTACCGAGTTATGCCTTCTATGATGAAATCGATCTCTGTCGATTATTTGAGAGAGATTTCTTTTTTGAAAGATGGTTTGATGTAATGACTTTTTAGCGTCAAATTTCGGTGGTAATGGAAAGAATTTGAATTTGAAAATAGCAGAAAGTGCAACGAACGTTGATATTATGACAGCGGAAGGACATAATGTTGATGCAACGCTGTTGGCAGTTGGCCGTGATCATGGCCATTATTTTGTTCGCAAAACATTTGGTAAACCAACACACTGTCATCACTGTTGTGACAAAATATGGGGAATGCTTACACAAGGATATGCCTGCGAGGGTTTGTTACAAATGTTTTGAGTTAAAAATTTTTTTCAAACAATAGAAGTATGTTCCTCCCTTTTACAGTTGGTGGTAAAAGTTTCCGTAAACCTTCGGAACTTTTTTGAAGCTTTTGGTATTCTGAAATTCTTTTTATTTTCATCTTCATTTTCTTTTTATTTTCATTTTATGATTAATTATATTATTACATTAGATATTATTAAGCATATTTTAATGTGATAGATACAGCGCATTAGAAAAGGTGACATTTATTGGGTGAAGTCGGAGTTAAATAGCTATTTAGTTCAGCTAAGTGTACCTGGGCCCAGAATTATGAAATGCATGATCTTTCGACAACGATGGTTCATTTTATCGCACAGAGATTTAAAAAAGTCTTTCAGTTTGCAATTTCATATGTCATGACAAGTGTATGAAAACAGTTGTTTCATTTTGCAGCGGTGTCGCCTTGCAATTGATAAAGGTAACTAATACTGCTTAATAAAGCCAGGGTTCTCCTAACAAACATCCATACATGTTCAGCTTACTAGCGCTCCATAAATTTTGCCTTCGACTTTGCTGGACTGATATAATAGTTGATCAAATTGTTAGTGACATACGTTGCCTTAGTTTATTCCCATAATACTTTCAGCAGATTAATAAAAATATATATTAACGGTGCAAACCTTTTGCGATTTGCTTCCCATTATTGGAACAGAAAAAAAATCTTATTCTGTCCTCTTGGCAGTACTGTCTTTACTTACCACTGTAAAATCATGGGTTTGATTTTTTTCGCAGTCTCGAGTCGTCGTTAGAACAAAATCAAGTGTGGATATCGGAACTCATATCAGATCTCGTGTTTTCTAATCTTTGAAGCTTCATTTGGGGTTTTTTTTTTACATTTCACTGACATTTGGACTCTTTGCAGAATCCTGTCGCTCACACGTGGTCTGAACCGTCACATATCAAACGAAGGTTTTGCTGCGTTTGTCGCAAAAAAACCGATGATTCAGTGGCTGTTGAGTGTGAGGGTAAGTTGCATTTTCAAGTTAAATTTTGGTTTTGTAGATGATATTGCAAAATGTTAATATTTCCCAGACATTGTAATACATAGGGAATACATGAATTCTCCCTGGAAATTTAAGAAGAGATTTGCGAGAGTGTGGTAAATTAACAAGTTGGCTTCATTTATAGTTTTGTTTCATATTTCTTATAAAGTTATGGACTTTGTTTTTGAAATTTCATAACTGCAAAATATACCAACCATTCAATGAGAGGCATGAGATTTAATTTCCAGCTTTAATTTAACTGTGTTAAGTGATAATAGATTGATAACAAAAGTTGTTCAAGAGGCGAAGTATCTAGTAAGATATTCTTCCTTGTCTTCGCTAGATTTGTCATATATTCATGTTTTTCCAATCTATAATAGATGCAGATTTCCCATTTTTTCGTATTTGATTTGTAAAATTTTATTCAGCTTACTTATAGTTTGTGAATATTACGTACACGTTGACTGTCACGATTTAGCAGTAAGTGACTGCAAGGAAGCTGCTACATATGTACCTAATTTGGATAAGGTAGGTTTTTCCTTTTTCTCTTTTTATCATTCCCTTGAGGGATTTGAAAAATCTGTCATTATATTATTCAAATTTCTGGATTCTTTTGAGTTCTGTCATGTTTTGGTTAATGAAGGTGCAAACCTTTTGCGATTTGCTTCCAATTATTAGAATAGAAAAAAAATCTTATTCTGTCCTCTTTGCAATACTGTCTTTACTGAAATAATTTCGGTTAATGAAATAATTTCGTTTCTGTAATCAGAATAAAAACTTTTGCCAATTTGAAGGTTTTTTACTGGTTTACTATTTTAATTCACAGCACGTATTGTCAATAGTTCTAAAAGCAAGTGATGCACTTTAGTAATATCCTTCACCAGTCAAGCATAAAATTCACTAAATAGAGATTTCCCTAAAGGCGACATAGTAAAGTAGTGCATACTCCTAGTCTGATAAAATTATTGTGAATCCAAAAATTCAAGAAAGTCTGAAATACGGATTTGTTTTCGTCCCTTAACTTTGAACGCAGTCTTCTCATATATAAATATCATAAAGATTACTATTTGGCGGTTGAAAACAAGATGGAATAGAGTCAAGGGTGGAAAATTTTGCTACAAATTTAACTTTTCCGAAAAATTCCAAAACTTTACTGGCTGGAAGTTTACTGGTTTTTTTATTGCTAAGTGCTATGGAAAAGATCACAGTTTTGGGATTAATAAGGGATATTTCGTAAGTTATTAGGGACAATAATTAGTGGACTAATGAAGTGGACTAATGAACGGTGGTTATTTTGTTAGTGAGTGGTTTACTTATGTCACATGTTAAGCTGAAATCCGAATGAATTATTTCGGATCCAAAAGTAACTTGTTTAGTAAAGCATACACACTCAGTTTGTTTTCGTCCTCTTTTTCTAAGCTTTCAGTCTTCCCTTCTTCTTTCTGGTTTCCCATCCACAATTAACATTTCTTCTTAAGAATAACAATAAGGCTTTGAGAGCCCAGGAATCGAAAGGTAGCCGAGTAGATTGGAATCAAGAAAATGATGGGGTTTTTTTGGGCCATTCAATGAACCAAACTTTTTGAAAAGAAATCATTCCTTTGATTGTTGGAGTAGCCAAACTTAGTGCAAACGCGACAGCCCGAAACATCATAATCTTAAGATTTTCAACTTGCAGCATCTTTGCAGCATGAATTCAACGTGCAGATAACTCGATTTTCGTTTTATACAAGCAGTTTTTGAACAGTTTTTGAAGAAAATCGTTCAA